ATGGAAAGGTAATGTCAAAGCCACATAAAGAAAGATGCAGTGGCAAGTATGAAGGAGTAAAGAGGAACTATTGTGTTATCTGTGTAGAAGAAGCAAAGCTTAGGTATCCTAACTCATCAGTGAAGAGATTGAGGAAGTTGCCAGCAGCATCATGGTGGATTACTACTAGTAGTAGTAGTAGTAGAAAAGAAATATCAAGGAGGAATGGTGGTTGCAGAAGTTGCAATGTTGCTGTATGTAAAGAGCATTGGAGTAACTTCAACCATCAAGTGTAGTGATGTGTTATAAATGAATATATTTATATTTGTTAAAATATGTTCTTATAATATTGTTTATAGTGATGASAGGGGTGTGATAGTAAGTGGAGTAGTAGTGTAGTAGTAGTACCCAAAAAAAAAAATCCTTAATTTTCCAGGTGGCAACATTTGGCAACACGCGACGGGAAAAAGTTAACATTACAAATCTTAAATAACATTCTGTACATTATCGTCAACATTCCCAATCCCTTATTTAAAGAAAGTTCAATTGATGTTTTACTATTAGTAGGTTACTATGAGTACAATAAAATGCAACAGTTTTTACTGCTACTACCTAAGCACCAATCAGGACTAGTAGAGAATCTGTTAGTTGGAAAGAGTGTTCTTTCTTTTTACCGTACATATGTATATTGCTGGTTTTTTTTGCCAGGGAACACTTTTAAGCTACTACAAGGAATTGCACAAAAAATTCAAATTTTACCATTAAAACAAACTCTACTATGATAGTAGAGACCTGCTGTCTCACCCCCAGATAGAGCATTGAACAATACTTTCTATCCAATATGATATTAAGGGCATGGGGATCTGGAAGCCTGCTTGGATTGATCAACCAAGTCAGGGCACTATTAGACCAGTAGCAGAAAAGGAAATTATCTATAAAAAAGGAGCTCCAGTCCAAGCAGGGAAACAACCACATCAGCCCATTAACAAGACCAGCCACTTTCACCAGGGCCTCTTCATTGTATTATATTTGAGGGAATCTGGAAGTTACAGATTGACCAACTGGGTGCTTTTGAATATTGTTCTAGCAACAGCTGCTACTACAGCAAAAACAACAACTACTGCAACGTTGCCAGCAGCAAGCCAGCATCACTACTAGCAGCAGGGGAAGTAAGGCTACAGGAATCCGCATTGTGGATCATTGAGAGGATGAGGCACAAGAAGATAAAGTTGTGGATGTGTAAAAATCTAGATCAATGTGACCACATATGGTTGAACTGGTGCCAGCAAACTCATGTTGACTACTACATCGATTGATGAGGCCCTTCATTCTTACTCTACTATGAAATCAGGATATGACATAGTATCATAGCATGGGTGTTTTCAAAAAGATGATTGCATTGTGGATTTTGAATCCAGCAGTATACATACATGAATATCAATATACTATTCCACAACTATGACCCCCTGACTCCCCCATATACCTGGAATCCTCTTTTTACTGGGATCCAATTCATGTGCCTACTATCAGACTTAAGTGTTCATTGGGGACCAAATTGTAACTGTCAGAGTGAGTTGATGCTTTATTAATTTTCTACATGTTTTTCTACTAGTACCGTGGGTAGATTTCAGGCCATATTTTTACCTTGTACTACTGGTATTGCACTCCTGTGGAAGCAAGCAAACATTAGTAGTTGCAGCACATGCATAACAAAACTTAACTTGTTGGATTGAAAAATTCAGCATCTGCCTCATTGTAAACTTAGTATGATTCAGGTTATTTAGTTAAAATAGTCATTACATGCAAAATGAGGGCTCATAATCCATAATCTACTACAACTGGATCGTATGTTTAAACCCCAACTCTATACAATATTCACAAATGACAGTACTAGATTATAGGTTAACAACATTGATGATGGACAAGGCATAGAGAAGAAAGGGCAAAAAAGTACTAGTACTACTACTACTATCAATTTTGAATTCACAACAATTAGTAGTACTGCTAGTAGTACTACTACTAGTAGTACAACAAAGAAGGAACCTATGGTCAACACTGGACACCAAATATCACCTCCCAAAGAACTTTTGCAAGAAAAATGCAGTTGAGAAGAAGTTGAATGATCTCTCCCAAATGTGTCAAGTCATGTAGTAGTGACGACTTCTTATCATAAAATAGAAATCTACTAATACTAGTAGTACTAGTACAACTCGTACTATCTGGTGGTACTACGGTGTGGTCTGCGAGGTCTGCATTATTTCGATTCGATTTACACAGTACAGTACACTAGTAGCTTGCACTCCCAGGTAGAAAAGTTGAATCCCATTTTGGCGGATCGGAACGGAGAGGTCTTGTTGATGGATTGATCGATTGATTGATTGGACTGATGGAGAATGTTTGAGCTGGATTTTGATTGGAGTTTCGAGATTTTGTTTATGATCCGTTTGTTGTCACGAATGAAAAAAGAACCGGCCTTGACACGATTTGATGGCTCGACTCCTGTCGATGGGCGCTTGGTGTTGTCGGAGTCGGTCGCCGAACCTGCTTCCCACGCGCATTGTGGGGCTGACCACGCGCTGGTCCGGTACAAGTACGAGTACCGTACGGACATAGTCAAACGAACAAAACGACTTCCGGCGATGCGAATTATTTTGCGTACTTGTTGTACGTTCCGGAATTTGAGTGCTGTACGTACGGTACTGTAAGTATTGTACAGTATGGTTGGTTTTTGGATTCCGGTGTATGGTCTACAGTAGGGATACAGCATGGCAGTATGGCGCTACCAATTACGTACGGCACCGTACATTATTAAAACGGTGCCGTTGGTTTTCTTCCGGTAACACTAAATCGATCGAAATGATTGGTGGTTCTGGGGTACGTAATATACAGTACACACTTGACATAGATAGTATTCTACGACATCTACATACTGCACTACATTTCAGCAACGAAATGAATCATCAACATGTTGTAATACAGTACTACCGTATGTGCAGGTGGTTCTTCTACCGTATCTTCAACTTCGGTTTGGGCAAGGTAGGCACGATCCCTACGGTACATCTCCAGAACACAAGAGGTCTAGTTTCGGCAATGAGACTGATGCGGCGCAGCTGCATCCCAGTGTGCCCAATCAGACGATACGTCACATAGTGTCGATTTCGACCCGGGCTGTTCTCTTGCACAGGGATTTTGTGAGCGAAAACCCTTCTGCTCTGTGTTTCTTTGTTTTTAAAGCATGACGAGGTCTTAAAATCACGGTCCCAATTTTTGGGATAGGCTTCAATCATCCATCGATCATCGATCGATCGATCAGCTCCAAGTCATCACGATATTTTGTCTTTTGTTGTGCATTACAATACAGTACAATACTGTACGGTAGGCTACGTGATGTCCCGGTAACGGTAAAATATGAATGAAAATTTGCATTCTTCTCACTACCGCTCGAAACTCGAAATTTCACCACAAAACCCAGTACTAAGGGAACTGTTTTCCACGCGACAGACTCGGGCCAGGGACCCGATGGACACCCCACCTTCTCACTTTTTACAACTTCTTCGCTTTTCAAAAGCACACATTCTGCAACTATAATCTTGACAGAGACAACAGATCCACCAGCCACACCTACACACACGTTGGACCGAACGCACGCCTTCCGATCGACACGAAACACAACAGAACACAACACAACGCAACATCACATTACATCCCACCATGGCCGCGCAGCACACGAGAGCCGCCACCCTGGGAATCGCGGTGCTCGTTTCGGCGACGGCAACAAACGCCTTTGTTCCGATGCGGACCCACTCTGGGATGGCCCGGGTTTCGGGCATCCGCCAGAGACGACCGCAGGTGTCGCCGAGGGAGTACTCGAGCAGCAGCGACACGGAGGACCGGAGCAAGAAAGAGAGCAGCAGCGGCAACAGCAGCTCGCCGCCGCCACCGGAACCCATCGATCCAGTCTTTTCCTCGCTCTTTGATGAGACCATCAACTTTCTGGGGGAAACCAGCGGTGCAAGCAGCGAGGCGACCGTTCCATCGACCAGCGAGGGCAACGAACCACCCCAGCTGTCCATCGGATTCGATCCGGGATCCCCGCCGCGGGCCTCGGAGGTCTCCGATCCCGACGCCAGGGCCATTTTTGCGGAAAACGCCGCGATTCTGGCCGCGGGAAAAGAAGGGGGCATCGACATCGACACGAACATGAACATGAGCATTGACATTGACATGAACCTCGACCTCGGGGACGCGCCGGGCGGCGAGGGACTCGTCAGCGAGGACCTCGAGGCCGTCCTGGCGGCGTCCGGGGAGGCCGCCGCCGCCGCTGAGGCCAGAATGCCGCCCGAGCTGAGAGAGGTCCTGGACGAGCTGGCCATCGAGGCCCTGAACCCTACGGAGGTGGTCCCCACCGTGGCCGCCGCCCCGACCCTTCCGCTGCAAACCCAAGCCGCGCGGCGGCAAGCGGAAGGCGAGGAGCTCGCTTCCCAACAAGCGGGGGAAACCGCGGTCCAGAACCCTCCGGCACCCATCCCGACCCCGGGCGTGGGAAAGATCCTGAGGTTTGCCGTTCCCGCCATTGGCGTCTGGCTCTGCAGCCCGCTTCTCTCGCTCATCGACACGTCGGCGGTAGGGGTCCTCTCGGGGACGGTCCAGCAGGCCGCCCTCGGACCCGCCGTTGCCGTGACGGATTACGCAGCGCTCCTCATTGTAAGTATCGCTGTGCGTCGATCGATCGATCGATCGATCGGTATCTCTGTGTGTCTCTCGTCCCTTGGATCGAGTCCATCGAACGAGTCCCGTCTTTCTAACGCCGCGTGTCTTGTGGTTTGCCAACAACAGGCCTTTCTGTACACCGGAACCACCAACATGGTGGCATCGGCCCAGGAGTCGGATCGGGGAACCACCGACAAGCCCCGGACCGCCGAGATGATGATGGGTGCCATGCGCATGTCGACGTACGTCGGGATCGGGCTGGGAAGCCTTCTCTTTGCCTTTGCCCGGCCCCTGCTCAGGGCCATCATCGGAAACGACGCCATCGGCCCGGCCGTCTTTGCGTCCGCGATGCGGTACGTCCGGATCCGTGCCCTGGGGATGCCCGCGGCCGCCATCCTCGGCAGCACGCAGGCCGCCTGCCTAGGGATGCAGGACGTCCGCAGCCCCCTCTATGTGCTGGCGGCGGCGGCGGTGGTCAACCTGTTTGGGGACGCTCTGTTTGTGGGCCACTCCCACCCCCTGATCGGCGGGACCGCGGGTGCGGCCTGGGCGACGGTCCTCTCGCAGTACGCCGCCGTGGCCCTCTTTGTCCGGTGGCTCTGCGGCAGGGCCCCGGAAGAGCGGGAAGCCGACGTCGATTCCGGGCCGGAGGTGATGAACCTCTCGAGCGCCATTCTGGAAATCACCAATCCGGGCGAAAGAGACAGCAACAGCAACGCCCGCGGCGGGCACCGGACCGATCGGCGGCAGAGGTTTCGAGCCGCCCTGGAAAGCTTCAAGCTCGCCGCCAGGCGGAAGAAGACGCCGGTTCCCGGCCGGAGCGAGGCCCGGCGGTCCCCCCTCCGGAGGCTGCTCCCGGGCCGAACGGCCGAGAAAACCAGCAGCGGAAGCGGCAACGAAAGCGGTCTTTCCTTTTCGACGCGGGGCTTTCTGAGGAACCGGTTCTCGGCGGCCGACCTCCTGAGGCCCCCGGGGGCGGAGACCCGCCGGGAGTTTGCTCCCTATGTGGTTCCGGTGACCACCACGCAGGTCGGTCGGGTCTCGGGGTACATCGCCATGGCCCACGTCGTCGCCTCGTCGCTCGGGACGGTTGGCATGGCCGCCCAGCAGGTCGTAGTCAGCATCTTTTACTGCCTGTGCCCGATCGCCGACTCGCTGAGCCTCACGGCGCAGAGCTTTGTGCCCGCGGTGTCGGAGCGGCCCGACGGCCCCGAGAAGGCCTCCGCGATGGGAACCGTCCTGGCGAATTTCCTCAAGGCGGGACTCGTCTTTGGGGCCGCCATGGTGGCGGCGGTGGGGGCGATCCCCCTCCTGGCCGGGTGGTTCACCTCGGACCCCTCGGTCGTGGCGCTGGTCCGCTCGGTCGTTCCCCTCCTCCTGGTCTTTTTCGGCGTCCACGGCCTGGTCTGCGGATCGGAGGGCGTCCTCCTCGGCCGGAAGGACCTGGGCTTTCTCGGCAAGATGTACGCGGCCTTTTTCGTCGCGGTCCCGTACTTTATGATGGGGGTCAAGCGAAGGGCCCTGGCCGGGGCCGCGGGGCTCTCCTCCGTCTGGACCGTCTTTGTCGGCTACCAGCTCGCCCGCTGCGGGATCTGGGTGGCCCGGGCGTGTGCCCTGCAGGCGAGGACCCGCCGGTCCGCGGCAGCAACAGCGGTCCGCCCGTTTGCGAGCGAACCCGAAAGCAACAAGCTGGCACCGTAAGGAGGCGTTGGTGCACGGACCAACGAACGAACGAACGAACCCACCAACCAACCGACCAACTATAGATTGGTTCTTTAGACTACCATACAATATAAACTAATACAATACAGTACAATATACAAAACGAGAGAGCTTTCTTTTCTTTTCATTTTGAATGGGAGGGGGAGTACGCATTTTCTACAGGCTCGTCATTTCCTCCTAGAGGCATATTTTTAATAGCTATTTACTTGCCCATACATAGAGACCCGGAATCGAGCCAAAAGAATCCAAGCAGCATGCTGCATTCTTTTCCTCCTTTCCCGATACCGTTCGGTATTTGATTCGGTTCGATTCGATTCGATTCGATTCAATCCGATTCATTCGAATCCAACAGCACAATAGGTCATTCATTGTTGTTGCAACCGCAAGCACGGCATCGGTTTATTGAGGAGTGCATCCAACACCACGGATAATTGTTGAAGACAAAAACGAAAGCTAATCGTAAAACCACTTGGTTGCCGTTCCGGATCCTTCTTCGCAGCAGACTTGGTCGCAAACGCGCTCCTGCTTTTTCTGACTCTAGGATAAGTATCGTGCATCGTACCAATAGATGTTTTGCCATGGTATGTACCGTACCACCGTGCGGTATGCGCACGAAGGTTCTTCCCGGGAATGAATGACCTTTCTATGGCACGATTCCAGTACCGTAACGCACGGGTTATGCACCGTGACAGATCTAGCGGGTTCCGGGTTTCAACAATGACCGCACGGGGAGACCGATGCACGACCTATGCTCATCGATGACCCCCATCCATAGCCTTCGACATAAATCGAACCAAGGGTCATTGAGGCCCAAGAACGACGAGAGAGGTTCGACGGAAACAACACGGACGCCCAACGATGCGGGTGACCGAAAACACACAGAGGCGGGAGGCAACGACCACAACTCCCCTAAGTAGGTACTGGAAGTTCGTGCGTACGGCACAAAACCCGGAACCGAAAAAACCTTTCGGTGTGCCCTTCCCGTACGTACCACCAGATGGTTAGTACTGTACTGTAGCACACTGCAAGTACGGTGACACATGCTCGAACGGAGGCACCACGCCGGAGAACAAAAACAAAAACACACGCCAAAACAACCGTACCGTACGGTAGTACTCGTACGTAACCGCACGTTACTCTTTCCTACCGTGCGTCACGCCGGTTGTGAAAAAACAGAACGATCGACAAAAGAACGCTCTGTTTTGGAGAAATCTGGCAGGCTTCGACAAGCCATAGTTGCAAACCAAAAGCAATCGCAAACAAGTGTTTACGGCAGAGGAGAACCACAAACGAATCCAATCCAGCATCGAACAAGCACACCCTGCTCCGAGCGTCTTCGAACCCACAACCACCCCACCGGAGCAACAGCAAAAGCAACAGCAACAGCAATTCAGACAGCGACCGACCGCTTGTTCTGCAAAAGCAAGCAAAAACCACAGACCCTCTCCCTCTCTCTTTCGCGTGGCACCACCGGCAGCGTCGCTCGGTTTGGTTTCTTTGTTTCCACCATGGACATGTCGGAGCTCCGTTCCGCCATGAAGCAGCGGCAGGACAAGCTCTTTGCCAAGTCCCATCCCGAGCCACGGACCCGAACGCCCCGAACGATCAGCCAGCGCAAAACCGTGGCACCCTCGGAGGGCCGCAGGCCCAAGCCGAAGCCCGGCCCCCGGGCCCGGCCCGAGACCCGGCCCTCTCCGGCGAGGGGCGAGGCCACGCGGGCGGCCGCCGCGGCGATCGAGGCCCGGATGGCCGGCGGGAGGCCCAAGCCACAGCCGCCGAAGCCACAGCCGCCGAAGCAGTGGCCACCGAAGCAGCGGCCTCCCCGCAAGACCTTCGAGAGCCGACCGCCACAGGCCCCGGCTCCCGGTTCCGAACGACCACGCCCCTTGGCGAGAGCCTGGCCACCGGTGACGGGCACGGCGGCACCGGAACCAACGAACGCGGGCCCCCTGTCGCCCGAGGAAGAAAGCCTCGCGGCCCCGTACCGCAAGATGCGAAAGATGAGGATGCCGGAGGGAGCCATCCGGCACAAGATGGCGGTCGACGGGGTCTCGGCCAGGATCCAGGAGGCGGTCCTGTCGGGGGAGCCGGAGGCCGCCACTCCTGCGGGTCCTCCTCCCGCGGCCCCCCAAGGGGAATCCCCGGTCTCGCAGCTGCTCCCGGAGGAAGAAGCCCTGGCGGCGCCCTACCGCAAGCTCCTCAAGATGAAAATGCCCGAGGGGGCCGTTCGGCACAAGATGGCGAGGGACGGCGTGCCGGCCATGATCCAGGAGGCGGTCTTGAGCGGGGGGTCCCCGGCTCCTCCGCCTTCCCTGCCGCCGCCATCGTCGTCGCCTTCCGCCGCGGCGAGGGTTTCGTCCCTGTCGGAGGAGGACGAGGCCCTGGCCACCCCGTACCGCAAGATGATCAAGATGAAGATGCCCGAGGGCGCGGTCCGGCACAAAATGGCGAGGGACGGGGTCCCGGAGCACGTCGTGGTATCGGTGGTCAGGGGAGAAGTCCCTTTGGACCGCGGAGCAAGCGGTGGGCCGTCCCTTCCGACGCCGACGCCGCCGGCGGCAAATCCGCTGGCGGCCATGATTGCCTCGTCGGGCGGGATCGGATCCCTCAAGAAAACACCCCAACCTGCATCGAAACCGCCGCAGCGGGAAGCCCCTGCCGGGGTGCCCTCGAACCCCCTCTTGGCGGCCATTGCCGCGTCGGGGGGGAGGGGGGCCCTGAAACCGGCGAGGCCCGTCGAGCCAGAGACTCCCGCGCCGGCTCCTTCGAGCGGCAACAGCGTCATGGACGAGCTCCGCGCCAAAGGCTTTGGGTCCAGCCTCCGGAAAGGGGGCCAGCCCTTGCCCCCACCCCCCGCTGCTGCGGACGCGGACGGAAACCACGGGGTCGTCCGCTTCCGGGGCGACGAGAAACCATCCACGGAGAAGGAGGCCCCGCCGCCGCCGCCGCTGCAGCCGCAACACCCACCCCAGTTCGAATCCGGTGCCCCCGCTACGGGCACGCCAGCCGAATCCGGCGCCGGACCCATTTCCTCCGGTCCCGGGGCACCGCCGGCAGCCGCCCCGGACGAGGGCCGTACCGGGGGCAATGACAGGGGCAGGTCCGTGTTTGGCTTCCGAACGCCTGGCGCCAAGAAGGGCCCGCCGAGGAAAACCGCCAAGCACAGCCGGGCCAGCAAGGGCCTGCTCGGAGCCATGGGGGACAACGACGACGGCGGGGGTCCGATCCAACCATCCCCACCGAGGCCGAGGCCGAGGCCGGCCAAGATTCCCAACAGCCGGGCCAACAAGGCCGGCAACAAAGGCGGGAGGGGCGTGCTCGGGTTGAGAAAGCCCGGTGCCCAACCGGCCCCTCCTCCCCCGGCGCCGGCGCCGCGGGAACCGGAAGAGCCCGTGCCAAGCAGTGCCGCAGCCGGCATCGGGGAAACGGCCAGGGGTACCAGGGAAACGAAAAAGGGAAGCAAGGGCTTGCTCCGCTTCAAGAAATCCGCTGCGCCGCCGGGTCCTTCTCCACTGCCGAACGAGCCGGCCCCCGCCAGCGCGGAGTCTGGTCACGGTGCGGGCAAGGGCAAGGAAAAGAGCAGCAAGGGGTTGCTCGGGATGAAGAAGTCCGGTGCCAAACAGCCTCCGTCTCCTCCGACACAAGAAGAGCCCGGTGCAGAACCCGGCCTCGGTGAAGCCGATAAGGAAAAGGGCAACAAGGGCTACAAGGGCTTAATGAAATTCAAGAAAGCCGGTGCCAAGCTGCCTCCTTCACCCCCGACACAAGAAGACCCGGCCCCGGTCAGCGCAGAAGCCGGTCATGGCGAGGGCAGGGGCGAGGGCAAGGAGGGCAGCAAGGGCTTGCTCCGGTTCATGAAAGCCGGTGCCAAACAGCCCCCTTCTCCTTCGACACAAGAAGACCCGGCGTCGGTCAGCGCAGAACCCGGCAAGGGCAAGGGGGCCAAGGGCTTGCTCAAATTCAAGAAATCCGGTGCCGACCAGCCTCCTTCTCCTCCGACACAGGAAGAGCCAGCTCCGGTCAGCCCAGAATCCGGCCCCGGTGAAGCCAGCAAGAGCAAGGAGGGCAGCAAGGGCCTGCTCAAATTCATGAAAGCCGGTGCCAAACAGCCCCCTTCTCATTCATCACAGGAAGAGCCAGCCCCGGTCAGCCCAGAATCCGGGAAAGAAAAGAGCGACAAGGGCAGCAAGGTCGGCAAGGGCTTGCTCAAATTCAAGAAATCCGGTGCCAAAGAGTCCCCTTCTTCTTCAGCACCGGAAGAGCCGGTCCCGGTCAGCCTAGAATCCGGCAAAGAAAAGAGCGACAAGGGCAGCAAGGTCGGCAAGGGCTTGCTCAAATTCATGAAAGCCGGTGCCAAAGAGTCCCCTTCTTCTTCAGCACCGGAAGAGCCAGTCCCGGTCAGCCCAGAATCCGGCAAAGAAAAGAGCGACAAGGGCAGCAAGGTCGGCAAGGGCTTGCTCAAATTCAAGAAATCCGATGCCAAACAGCCTCCCTCTCCTCCGACGCCGCTAGAGCCCACCCCGACCAACGCAGAAGCCGGCAAGGTAAAGGGAAAGGGCTTGCTTCGATTCCTGGATTCGAAAAAGGAGGAACCTCCATCAGAGCCGCAAGAACCTGCGCCCAAAACAGGCGTGAATCACAGTGAAGCAAGCAAGAGCAAGGGGTTGCTCCGATTCCTCGAACCTCGAAAGGAGGAATCTCCTTTGAAACCGGAAGAAATTCCTACCAAAAAGGGTTCGAATCACAGCGAACCGAGCAAGGGCAAGAGCTTGGGCCAATTCCTGGAATCTGGAAACAATGAAGCTCCATTGAAACCGATAACGACGACGAACTCTACTCATAGCCGATCCACGCAGAGCCGATCAAATTACAGTATTGGAAGCAAAAGTTCATCTGGAGGCACCAAAGAAAGTGTTGAGGAGCTTCCATCGAAGTCGCAATATCCTCCTCCCAAGTTAGGCTCAAAGAATCCCAACTCTGGAGCCGGCGCACCAAATTCGCCGTGGAAGCCAAAGTCCAGGGACGATTCAGCCGAGAGGCCTCATGCTTCCTTTCTTGCGAATGCTGGAAAGCCAAGGAAGAGAAGCACCGGCACAGTTCCTGTTCTGGAAACGATTCAGGCCGACAAACAGAAAACCAATTTCGTGAAATTCGCAGCTGAAACCAATTTTGCGAAATTCGCAGCTGCAACCATAAGCGAGTCCGATGGAGGAACCAAAAAACAACCCAACAGCAAAAAGGTGAGGAACTCGGAGAATAAAATCATAAAATCCATCACGTTGGATGACGGGGCGGAAATGCATTGCGTTTGCGCCATTATGTGAATTCGGTTTGCAATTCGATTCGATTGCAGTCAATTCCATTGCATTAGTGATGTCGTGCGCACAGGTGTGGCCTGGCAAATCGAACGACTCATTCGGGTACAATGAACAGCACTCAAACCGGTTCCCCGTATCGTGGGGGGTGCCGTACCGTACCGTACGTACCGTACGAGAATCTCTGTTGGAATATTTGTTCGTTTAGCATGTTTCGATCTATTTATCTGTAGAGCATGACTATCGTAAAGGCTAGCTCGGTCCTGATTAGAACCTTCCCTGGACAAAAACAGAAGCAAAAACAACAGCGACTACCACTGCCACTATGATTCTACACTCAGTGGCACCACAATCATGACAAAACCTGCCATCATTACTTTTATAAATATATGTAAGATATAGGTGTCCTTGTACAACACGATCTTTCCGATATCGAAGCATTCGAAACCAAGGCTACCTACTTCTGTCTCTTGGATCTTGTTGGTATCCGTTTGGCTAGTATTGCTACGACGAAAAAACGTAGTACATCTTGACGGCAAGGCATAAATGCGGAACTCTTGGACCTTATTGCTCTCGAATTACAAAGATTCGCCCAAAAAAATCGAATCTGCTGGCGATTTGAGAAAAGTGTATCGGACAATTGCGTACGATGATGCTAATTATATATTCATTCAAGTTACGCATTGTCAAAATATTCGTGCGTCTACTATCTTTATATTATATTGATAATAACCGTATATCTTGGCGCTTAACGTCCCTGAAATACATCAGAAAGTCGACGTTGTACTTTACCACAGTCTTCCATCCATCAAAACAAACAAAGAAACCATCCACATCTAGAATTTTAGACGCGAAACAAAAAGGCAGTGTCAGGGTTTCTCTTCACTTGATTCGTTGCCATGAGTTTGCCAGATGCGGTGGCACCACTGCTGTTGTCTACGTTTGCCACCGTGTTTGATGCTGCTGCTGCAGAGCGATAGGCAGCTGCACGGGTACGGGGGCTCGTCCATTGGCTTCGCTTTTGGCGCATAGGTGTCAAAACACTCCACGATGGAGCCGCCATAGGCTTATTGGAGGCCTTGTTCGATGCGGAGTCGTTACCGCTGCTCTCCGGTGGTTTGTACTTCTTTGCCAGTGGAATCCTCTCAAGAGGCTCGAAGAGATCTAGAGCCTCCCCCTCGACAATTTGGTATAGATCAAAGCTCGCGAGGCGGGTTTGTTCGTCAATCGCCGAAGAAAAATCGCGACGACCGCTTGTGAGCTTGCTGCAGTCCTTGCTTTTAGAAATCATACGCTGTAGCGCCAGCGAGGCAGTGTGTAGCAAGCTGAGAGCACGGCTCCGCCCGCGTTCATCTGGGCTTTCCTCCGCTGTAAGAACTGCCATCGTCCACAGGCAGAGAACAGCGGTGTGCTCGCGTTCGTAGGATGTCACTGCCTCCTTTTCGAGGGGTGCAGGCATCGAAGATATGGATGCAGATGGTCTGCTTCGACGCCGCGAAATAAATGATGGGCCCTTCTCCTTGGCATGGGAAAGTGGCGTTTCGGCATCGTTTAGGGGGACCATGAAAATACTTGATGGTTCTTCTCCTTTCGTTCTTGTTGCTTGCTTCATTGTTGTAATTGTCGTTTTGATTTGATCATCGACTTTTTGTTCCAAACACGAAGCCAAAGTTTCCATTAGTTGGATAGCTTTCTTTCTCTTTCCGAGTTCGCGGAGACATCTAGCAATCGAAAAGGCAACGGAAGCGGCATTGGGGTGAATGAGAGATTCAGTTCGAATCCACCCCCGAAGCGAAATTTCATACTGCGAATGAGCCAGTGACCAATAATAGCGAGACGGAGTCTCCAAAGTCAATCTACTCCCGCAAGAAGTGCTGGCAGCCAAATCACGAAGCTCGTTTGTGTGAAATTTCTCTTCGCCGGCCGAGAGACAATTGGCAAGAACCGAAAAAGAGTCGGCAACAAGGGAGTGATTTAGAAGAGTGATTCGATGATTCCGACCCAAAAGCTTGAGAAAATTCCGTGAAAGTTCTTCTTGAAACTTTTTGCAAAACGCCTGCATAATGCCGACAGCATCGACACGATCGTCGAAAGAAACAACACGGTCCGGATCTTTTTCGCATAAAAGCTCGAAGTATCTCCGATCGAAAAATAGAGATTCGACTTCCGATAAGTAACGTGAGAGCAGATCGACCGTTCGGGAAACGATGGATTTAGCTGGATTGATATCGTGTGCTTCCGTTAGGGCGCCCGCTAGGTCAAGCATAGAGCCAAGAGTTCTCGGGTGACATCGGGGAAGATTCTGTTCGCATCGAAACAAAAGAGAACAAAGGACGTCGGATGCCTTAGCCCAGTTCTTTTCCGCTGCCATATTGCACGACAATTGCTGTAGGACTTCAAAAGGCAGATCTAGTGCACGATCAAACACGCTGCTCGAGCCGTATCCAAGCCAGCCGATCATTCCAATAGATGTGGCCTGATTGCTTATGACGAGACTTCTCAGTAGTAACCTTCTCGAAATAGCAATGATGTTGGTCGGCAATGAATCCCTTTCATTTCGTTTAGGTTGCAATTTATCCTTCGCGGTTTCTTGCAGAGCCACAGCAAGTAGATGAAGGCAATAAAGCGTGGATACATCTCTCGGGTTTGAGGTAGCATCGACGACGCCTTCTTCGAAGACCGCAGAAAGTAATGATACCAATGAAAAGTCATTACTCTTTTGCCCCTCAGAATTTCCCGGCTTCTTGACAGAGATCTCATTAGCTGGTGAGAGAATATTTGCTTGACTTTTAGTCTCCTCTGATTTCTTTATTGTAGGATGGGAAACAAGTGCAGTGATGTCTCCTTCTAGTGAGGTCGGATCATCCTCCTCCTTTCCCTGCTTCTGTTGCTTCTTCAATGCAGCTTCAGCGGCAAGTGCAGCGATACCTAAAGTCGGTCGCTTCGACTC